CATCAAATGTTTATTACCGTCTTGAATAAATGCTCCCACTTAGTTTATCATCAATTCGTATTCTTCTTTTCTAAATGGTATTATCATTAAATAAAACCCTCTGTAAACAAATTAAAATCAGATAACAAACTAAGTAGTAGTATAGTAAGATAAAACTTCGTTGTGACAGATGTAAACCAGAAAACAATTAGGTATTTTAGGAAATGTTTCTAAACTAACTAAAGATAAGTAGTAGAGTGTTGGGGACGATAGATCCCCAAAAACTCATAGTTTGTAATTTATCTTGTGGAGCTTGTATGCAGATGTATACGTGGGCATTTCTCACCACCCACGCACATAGTTGATTGACGAATTTATCGATTAAATGTTTAAATATTTCAATGGCAGTCAATTGACGAACTATCGATTAAATGTTTAAAAGCTCCATGACAATATCTATGTATATATATTTGTATATATACGTTTTAAAATTGTCTTTGTAAAAAAGTTTGCTGGTTTCGGGTTGTTGCAGAATATATTTCATTCCAAGCTTGGTCTTCTCTCTCTAGATGGCGGGCTGGGACGCGTCAATAGATAGCTTACTGGTCGCTGGTCACTGAATCTCGTTCTCGTTCGCAATCTAAGTGAACTCGTTAGCTTCAAACCTAACATAGAGATATATATTCTAGTTCATGATCTATTGAACATGAACAATTCAGTTTTTACTTCTTTTCACAATAACGTTGTTGTTATTTGTTGTACTCGAATCAGAGTTTTGGGCAGTGAATATATGACAGTAATAAGTGCCAAGTTCAATCAATTATTTTCTTAGTGGGTCACTATCACAATTATTATTATTATTATTATTATTATTATTATTATTATTATTATTAATAGTAGTAGTAGTATTTTAGAGAGGGAAACAATCGATAAAGAAGGAATGGAACCAAACAAAAATATGAAAAATGTTCTAGCTGACCTGTTTGTTATGCACACGCGTAACCATATAGATGAGAGAAAAAAATGTCCGAAAGATACAATTAGAATGAAGCATAGTTATTTACAGTATTTTGTAACAATTCATATAGGTAGGTAGCTTATGGCAATGTTGTGATAAGTTAAACTAGAGGACGGATATAGAACTGAGAAAAAGAGAGAACAAGTGATTCAGCCAAGGTATCTATTTTCAGTCACTGTCATTCTTGAACCACTCTTTGTATTGAGTTCCTGATACATTTGTGTATAAATTTTTTAACTCTGTTTAGAGCCATTTAATTAATAAGAGTAACGTCGAATTTCAAGTAGAATGTGACAAGTAAACAAAACTAAAAAAACGTCTATTTAAGTTACATGCGAACAACATTTTAAAAGCATTATATCATACATTGTAATGATAAAAAGGTGGAAACTTGTTACTTAATGATTATAAATATTGATAAGAACACCTATAAGATTTATTCGTGTAAGATATACATTCTTCAAAGAACTATACTGTTTCACATCAGTTTGTCGCTTAAGCAGCGATTGACTCGCCTCTTAAACATCTCCACAAATCTCCATTCTGATATAATTATGTACCCAGAACTACTTAACAGTACGGTAACTGATACTAACACAATGTAATTAATACAATACCACAAAAGAGCAAGTATAAAAATTCTAGTAAGTTAAAAATATTAATACAAACGAATTTGTTGTGAATACATATCAGCATAGTATAATCAAGATTTAAACAAATTTGGGAGGCTAAATAATTGTATAACAAATAAATTTATCATATACAAAAATATATTCTACATTAATTATAGTAACAAAAGACCAAAAAGGTAGAAACAAACGGTTACATGATGAATAAATGAGAATAAAATGAGTAAAGCTCAGTTATAGTTAAAAAATAAAATTACTGAAATAGAAGGTAAGTTGAAAAATCGCAACGCAACTATACTACTAATTGTGAGAACTAATTAAAAATCGTTTCATGATGTAACGAAATAAAGTTTAATAAACTATTACTTTATCAGATCTATGATGCCACATAACAACAACTTCAGTAAACTTTAGAAATTTGGTGTTTAGCTGTTTATAAATCACTTTAAAATTTCGATTTTTAAATATTTCAGATTGTAAGCAGCTGACAAGCATTTAACGATATAGAACAAATTCGTGTCATTGGTATGGGGTTGTGGTGATTGTTAAGTTTTTGATTAAGATCATGAATCGATCAACGCTAATACACCATTAAAATCCTGGAAGCACTGGATGGCCATCTCCTAGTGGGGGACTCCTCAACAGTGCGCATCTGCGATCCCACACGGGGGGCTCGAACCTAGAACCCTCGGTCTCGCACTCAAATCTTTGTTCCTGCTCTCTTCAAGATAATAAAGGGAACTATGTGTATAATGGTACAATACTATAGATTAAGATCTGATAAAGGATTTACTTAATCGAAATACCACTCTTTGATTCTGAAAATACCATCGAAATGCCCTAATTATGTAACCTAAGTGTTTTATTTTTCGCACAGCATACACTTAGCATAGTTCTTGTAAATAAATTAGATATTTAAGGTTCTTGTATGTGCATTGTAAATCATTATTTTGTACACTTCTTAGAGGGTTGACACAGAGTTACATATTTAAACTCAGTTTCATCTAATGAAGTGTATACAAATAGATATAAGCATCACAATCAACTGCCCATTAAGATGGAAAATAGCTGAGCATCACAATTAAATGTGTTCGAGTAGCATATTCACTTTCAAGGTTATTACTTTGTTTTGGTATATATATACAGTTCAAAATTCATTTTAATCACTCAGTTTTTACACAATATACGGAGCTATTATTATTATTATTTATAACTGATGTTTACATGCGTACTACTTACAACGTTCCACTTACAATATAATACTAGTTTACCAATAATTTGTTGTATTCTTATTCTGTCCGTTTAATTGTTTTCAATCAACTTTATACTGGTAAACTGAACTTTTTCATTAATCATTCACCTTAACCATTTACTGTTATTGTTATTATTATTATTATTATTATATGTAGTGGTAGTAGTACATTCAGACTAGATTATTGATCACTATAGTACGATAATAATAATAATAATAATAATAATAATAATAATAATAGTCTATCGATTATGTACGGCCTACACATTGCATCAGACTTCTGTGCAAAACAATCTTGAATATTGATTTACACTAAATTGTGAATCTGAATGAAACTAATATAATTTGATGTTATTAAAAACACCATCATATACGCATCAATCACGTTGCTCCATAATGTCACTATTATATTCAATATTCTTTATATTGTCCTTCCATTAAAAAGATATGTGTAATAATGCCATTGGTAATAATAATACAAGTTACTGCATAGTGTGTCAAACTATTTTTCATCATCCGAACTTTGGTCTTTCTCTATCTTGATATAAGTCTTTTATTATATATGGAAGTTTAGTTTAAAGAATGCGATTTATTTATCCAACAATCAACTAACTGTAAATATCTCATTCCTGCAAGAGTTTAGTCTTAGTTTAAACCAAATACCACAGCCGTAACATATCAGACTTCGAAACTGGGCAACTCGTGTGTAAATCTATCAGGGAGTGTAGGTTTTCTAAAGATTGTAGGTGTGTCTTGCTGATAAATGATAACTAACACGAGACCTAAGTCGAGCAGGGTTTCGTGCCTATCACCTCCAGCCACCTAACATAGTGATATATCTCTAGCATAGACGGAAATAGAGTCGTGGCAATTTTTCAACCCGATGTCGATTGAGGAGTAATGTGGAGGAGGTCGCACTAAATAGATGTTTCGTACTAGACTTCGAGGATTCCTTTGTGTGTTTTTGGGAACCCAAGGTATTAGCGGGAATCAAACTCATAGTCTCGTGCTCTTTTAGTTTTGTGCACACTATCCTCTTATATAACTGAGTCCCAATTCAATAGAATAACATTTTCGAATTTATTGTTATGCTATGATATATTTCAACTAGTTAATGATTTTTTTCAATAAGTTGTTTGGTGTAAAATAAAGAAAATTCGTTTTTTTTAATATCCTTTAAACTGAATTTTGTAGCTGTAGGAATGATGGTTTAAATGCTGTTTTTTTCAATCCGAATCAAGACTTGTGTAATAAAACAGTGTGAACCGACCCTTCGTGTTAGATTTTACCTTTGTCAAATTCTTAATAACATTTAAATTGCCTAATGTTTCATTTAATTTGAACAGCGATTTAATAGTAAAATCACATGGTTTTTAACCACAGAGTTGTAGATTCAGATCTCATCCCTGTGTTCTTGATTCAAATAGATGCATAATATCATCAGCTTTCATATAAAGAGTATGGTTTGTAACTGAATGTTCAAACTTGTACTTGGTCACTAAGTTTTAAAACTTAAGGGTTTATTCACCAACCTCCCTACCCAGTTACAACAAGGATGAATCATACTAACTGTTTCTGTAAGTTTGATATGACTAAAGTAACATAGTACTGGCTAACTTTTATCCACTGAATTCATACATTACCAACCATACTACCTATTAATTAAACTATTGTAGGGTGCCATCATCTGATAGGATAAGCAACTGTAAGAATCTCACAATGGTTCTCATTTCTAACTTTAATCTATTCCCTCATAACATGAACGTTCTAGGAGCTCGAATCTTTGTTACTGATTCAGAGCTTCAAACTGTTAGATCAAAACAACAACTGTCCAATATCATCATGTGGTCTTTAATGGTTGCTCAATCGACTTGTCAGTTGATGGTGAAAACTAATTAAACTTAACTCTTTCAGCAATGTGTATTTAAAATTCCAATGAAAGTAACGCTTCCATTGATATTTCAACTCTCTTCAGTAAGCTCTTGTGCTGAGTGGATTGTTAATGCTGAATTACTAACTATCTAGGTAAGTAATGGTTTTTCTTATAGTAAGTCTTGGTATTGCTAATTTTACTTGTTTAATAACATTCTTTTCATCATATATATATCATTTATTTTTGTAGTTCATCATCAAATCCAATTCGCTCTATCCCCGTACAATATTGTGAATCGTCAATGAAAACCGGTTTAGGTTTGATGTATGTGTATAAATTCCTGAATATACCATTTTTATGTCTACAACGTGATGTACTACAGTATCAATTGAAACGTAATTATAATGAAATGATTCATGTTTTATATGAGTTAAGTCCAAAAACTGATAATCAGACACCAGAACAACGGTAAGTGTTAATTTTTATTCTTTTGATGGCGTATTCTGATTTTCTCTGTTAGTCTGTCAGGTAGTCATACACAATATAGTTTTTAACACATGTATACATCGGTTCAAGTTGCCACAACACATCGAGATACTAGAGTAATATAAGTAGTATTAGTATCAGTGATAGTAGCCAAGATTAGGTATAAAAGATACAGTTCAAGAAGTAGGCAGTCGTCAAATATATATAGTGTATATACCAATCGCCTCGGTCGATGAAGATTCATTAACTCATCAACCAATTCTCCATCCTTACCTAGTAGTACCCTGGGTCTAACTTCAGCTTTGCTCAATCTGTGATCCCAAGCATATACAAGCAATGTTTCATAGGCATCTGTATCAAATACACTAGTAATCTACGAATATCCTCTATTTTGAAGGCCGAAAGCTCATCTGTTTTTTTCTCAGTATAGTAATATGATTTCAAGGGAATCCTGAGAAAAGTACCTTAAATTCCTTTAAGATGTTTTATCTTCTTACGGTTTTCAATATCATTTATTTAGTCAATTATAAATAACTTGTCAGAGTATACGTAGTAGATGTCCACCTCAATCAATGGAAATTAAAAACCATTACCTAGTATCATACAACCAACCTCAGCATTTCTCACCTAAGGAGAACAATGGTTCGAAGGTACCTGTGATCAAAAACATGAAACATGTATGTTTATTACTTTCTTAAGCTATGTTTAACAGCCCTTGAGCATTGCAAAGCAGTTTCCCTAAAATATCATATTCAAAGGAAAATATTTTAAGTATTAACTTCATGAAGCAATTTACGCAACGTAACGGTATTTGATATTAAGTGGTTAGAAGTAGTCGGCAGGAAATCCTACTCAACCGAGGTTTCGTGATAGTTGTTACTAGTCAATAATTTTTTACCAACCAAATGAGAAACAATACAATAGTCAATATCAACAACACTGTTTTCAGTACTATATACGTTTACATTTACATTTTAATAGATTGCTATTAATACTAGGTGTCGACCATACACACACATATGTACATATACACTATCCTAAGTTGGAGTTATTGTTGTGTTTTGTTTTTCCACTTTTGAAATTTCATTAAACATATTGAAGGTTTAAGAAAAGGAGGAATAAGGTGAACAATTTCAATAGAGCTTAATAAAATCAATTGTTATATTGTTGTTGCTCTCTTAAAAATTAGTTGTTTTATTCTTCAAAAAAAAAACACTTGACTTTCACACACAAACAAATTAAAGAAATTTAACCCCGTTCGTTTGTATTTTTTTGATTTCACCTTTCTATGATCATTTTCTTTTGAAATTGTGTATATGTACATTATGTATGTATGTGACTTCACTTTCTGTATTCATTTTTTTCTAAATAGACAGGAAATCGTCTATTATGAAGCGAGAAAGCAATAATATTTTTTTTCTTTATAAAATACGCCAACTACCTACCAAAGTTGAAATCTTCCTATTTCAAATTACGAATGAATTCATAAATCATCATAATTTTGCTTATAAAAGCTGGTTATACTGAATTTTAGATTGTAATATCTTAATAATTGTTTAGTGTGGTGTAACGTCCTATTCTTTAATTGATGCGTAGATTAGGAAAATGAATTTCTATCACGCATTAATCATCAAGAACCGGGGTGCTACTAGATAAGTGCGTTATTATTATTTGGAACGTTAGCAGTACGGGTTCATGACTCTCTAAGAGGAGTCGAGCTCAGTAGAACTATCAGGCCTCAAGAGGTGAATGAATTATCGTTAGAACATAGAATTGAATTTACTTGATCCTAATGTATGAACTAGTTTGATCATTAGTTTCTCCTAATCTGCTATGAGTCTTTTAGAGGCGGTCAAATCACGACATGGAATGAGTTCATAAGGTCACTGACTATTGATCTGAGCCATGTTGGTATGTGGAAGCTATCTGGTTGGGGTCCACTTGATTATCGTAGCCAATTTCATTTATTTAAACATATAAACACTGGTTTATATAAACACTGGTGCCCCCAAATGCCCTGGTATGGCCGAGAGCGGGGAGGGTTCGCCCTCCCTCTCGAAATACTCTCACACGGCCACGCGTATACAGCCTCTGCCAGGGAAGTCCTACTCACTGCCTTCTCGTGGCGGGGGTGTTGTCTATGAAAATGAGAGGACGAAAAGCGAATATCCGGCGCTATAACCGGGTCCCAATTCAATGGTGCACATGGGCTCCAGTATGCTGAGGGAACAAATGGCGTATGAACCAACTTTTGGTCACCGGCTTCCATGGGACTGCATCTCCTCACGATGCTCCACTGCCTTGTGGACTAGACCCTTAGGTCAAAGGCTCGGGGCGTGGCCCCCTAAGAAAACCACCTGCTCCGGTTTGGGCACCCGGACAGTATCTCAGCCCACGCACTAAAACCTTGATGAACTATTTGCTTATGGAAAATATTCCTTTCTATCTGATTAACATTGAAATAACTCGTACTACTATTATTATTATTATTACTATTATTATTATTATTATTATTATTATTATTATTATTATTATTATTATTATTACTCTACTACGTCATCTATTCACTCTCTCTTATCCCTACTTTATGTATCCGTTTCGACCTAGACAGCAGCTCACCTATGGTGAAAATTCAGCTTTATCTAAACGTTCTCGAGTCACTGCCTGGTTGAAAATTGTATGTTACCACCGAATATGAGTACTGAAGCAGTTTTTCTGAAACCGCGTACACCATTCAAACTGGCTGCCTCCAACGTTCGCACACTTATGCAGGTCGGACAACAGATAGGGCTGGCTATGTCTTTGGAAAGTCTTAATATTGACGTTATGTGCTGTTAGATTAGAAAGTTCCATCAAAGTGAGAAGAAATAGGCGTGAGAAACGATGTCTTTTCGTCATCTCCGCCTATGCCCCGACAGATTGCAGCCCGGATGCAATCAAGGATGAGTTCTATCACCAGTTAACTGTTCTTCTCCAGAAAGTGCGCTCGACAGATATTGTAGTACTAGCTGGAGACTTGAATGCTCAGGTCGGGCGTCTAGGCACAGAAGAGAGTCGTTTAGGTGGCCGATGGGGACTCGTTGGTCGCAGGACAGATAACGGGGAACGTCTACTGCAACTATGCACAGACCACAACTTGTTTCTGGCTAGCACTAACTTTCGGCACAGTCATCGCCGATGTGCCACCTGGCGTCCCCCATCTACATCTCAAGCCTGGATACAGATTGATCACATCGCAATCAGCTACCGCTGGCGTGGTTGTGTACAAGACTGCCGCTCCTTTTGGATTACCTATCTGGAATCTGATCATGCTCTGGTCTGCGCCAATCTTACCTTACTTTTCAGTGGACAACGAAGTGACCGCCACCAAAGGATTGACGTTAGCAAGCTGGCTGCAACTTCTGTTGCTAGTAAGTACCGAACCGAGCTAGCTTCTAGGCTAGCTACCATTCCACCGAAAAGTATAGATGAGCATTGGTTGCAATTGCATGACGCCATGAAAATGGCGGGTACAGTCTGTTGTGGGTTCGCGAAACGCCCCGCTTACAAGCACTGGGTTTCTTCTGGTTCCTTACAACTCATTGAAGCCCGTCGGTCCATTTCGGGTGACCGTGAGTTTGACCACAAACGAAGGATGTTACGTAATGAAATCGGGCAAAGCTTGCGTAAGGACCGTGAAGCCTGGTGGTCGGAGCGTGCTAATGAGCTGGAAGCAGCAGCTGCATCTGGTAATTACCGGAAGCTCTTCCAACTCATCCGAGCCACTGGCAGCAAGAAGTCTGGTGTGAGCGAAACAATCTGCGAGGATGACGGAACGCCAATCACTAACATCCATCGACGTCTTGGACGATGGGCAGAATTTTTCGAAGGGCGGTTCAACTGACCTGCTGCTCCGGCAACATCGGTCAGACTGTCCTGCCCTCCATGGCCGGTGACGACTGATCCACCAAATGAGGCGGAAGTCCGCAAGGATCTCCAACTCTTGAAACGTTACAAATCACCGGACCCAGATGACTTACCTCCGGCTCTTTTTAAAGATGGTGGTGACTTTCTGACTAAGGGACTGACGACGTTGTTTACAAAGATCTGGGAACTAGAGAGTGTACCAACGTCATGGAATGAGTCGATAGTTGTCCCTATCTTTAAAAAGGGTTCACGTCGTTCCTGTAACAACTATCGAGCGATAAGTCTACTTCCGGTTGCGTCCAAGCTATTGGCTTCCGTTATACTTCGCAGGTTGTTCAAAACCCGAGAAGGATTGACTCGCGAGGAGCAGGCTGGGTTTCGTTCCGGTCGAGGATGTATTGATCATATCTTCACCCTCCGCCAAATGTTAGAACACCGCCATACTTATCAAAGGCCAACAATCGTAGTGTTTCTTGATATCAGGGTTGCCTTCGATTCGTTGGACAGAACTGTTCTCTGGGATTGTCTATTGAAGAAGGGTGTGCCTGAGAAGTTTATTAACATCCTAAAAGCCCTATACACAAACACCTCAGGCAGAGTGAGGGCATACAACCACCTTTCTCCACTATTCCATTCAAGCAGTGGAGTTAGGCAGGGCTGCCCAATCTCACCATTCCTCTTCAACTTTGCCATCGATGACATTCTGGAAACAGCTCTGATGGATGTAAGTAATGGTGGTGTGGATCTGTTGCCTGGAGAAAGACTTCTCGACCTTGAGTATGCGAATGATATTGTCTTACTGTGCGAGAATGTTCAAGCCATGCAATCCGCACTTCATCATTCGGCAATCAATGTCCGTAGGTATGGTATGTGCTTCGCACCTTCGAAGTACAAAGTACTCCTACAAGACTGGCAGGATTCTAATCCTGTACTCACTCTGGACGGTGAGCAGATAGAAGTGGTCGAGAAGTTTGTGTATCTAGGTAGCTGCATAAGTGCTGGTGGTGGTGTGAGTGATGAGATCAATGCACGTATAGTGAAAGCCAGAGCGGCTTATGCCAATCTGGGCCACCTTTGGCGCCTTCGTGATGTTGGTCTGGCTGTAAAAGGTCGGATCTACAACGCGTCGGTGAGAGCAGTTTTGCTCTATGCTTGTGGAACCTGGCCTCTCCGAGTTGAGGATGTTAGACGACTCTCTGTGTTCGATCATCGTTGTCTCCGAAGGATTGCTGACATTCAGTGGCAACACCATGTTAGTAATGCAGAGGTTCGGCATCGCGTGTTCGGGCACAGAGACGATAATGCAATTGGTGTCACCATCTTGAAACACCGACTTCGGTGGCTTGGACATGTTCTACGAATGTCGTCCCAGAGAATTCCTCGTCGTGCATTATTTGCCGACTCCGGGACTGGTTGGAAAAAGCGGAGAGGTGGTCAGTATATGACATGGTGTCGTGGTATGAAAGAAAACTGCAAAGGGCTAGCTTCTGTTGGTCCTTCACGACTCCCTGGCTGGGGTCCGAGAGACGGTGTAACGCAGTGGCTAGAGACGTTATCAGATATGGCTCAGAATAGAAGCCAGGGGCGATCCTGCTGTAACCTTCTTTTACTTTCTTCATAAAAAGTGGTTGTATCTTCCTTAACTGAAAGATTGCTTATGATTGTACCTTTCCGTTTTCCCCATCATTGTTCTCTCTCTCTTTTTTATTTATTTATAATTCCCCACGTTCATTACTATTTTTTCTCCTTCAAATTATCATTGTTTTGTGTGGCGCATAAATATTTGGTGCCCCCCTGTACCAATATTTATGTGTTCAAATAAATAAATAATTAACACTGGTACAATGAGGCACCAAATATATGTGTGCCACACCAGCATTCGATTTATTTGAGGACTCTGGTACCACTCGGGCACCCTAACCGAAACAGGTGGTTTCCTTAGAGGGCCACTCCCCCAGGAGATGCAGTCCCATGGTAGACGGTGACCATGAATGGGTTCATGGAGCTCTTATGCACCACTGATTTGGAAGCAGGGTTCCCAACTCCCCTAGGTGGATCCTCCATATCCACCATTCTTATTAAAGCGCCGGACATTCACTTTTCGTCCTCTCAATTTCGTAAACAACAGTAATGCCACGAGAAGGCAGTGAGTAGGACCTCCCTGACAGTGGCTGTATACACGTTGAAAGTATTTGGAGAGGGAGGGTGGACTCTCCCTACCCTCAAGCTTACGAGGGTATTTGGTGGGGCTAGCCAACGGTTGGGGACTGTAGATGACTTGTCTGAAAGTCTGTCGCAATGGCTCAAACGAATTCACTTTCTGTCTGCTCCTACATCTTATACTTTTCTGTTCCTTGATTTCATTCTGTCTTCTCAAACCATATTTTTTATGCCTAATCTTTTATATTATTATTGATACTATTATTACTGTCTTTATAATTTCATATCTATTTTACTGATATAGTATGACAACTTGAACTGATAAAGATATTTTTTGCACTCTATTTGTATTTTAACTGATTAAGTTTATGTAAATAACTTAATAGGTTTGACTTATTGTTAATATTCATTTAAATATTGTACATTCTTCCTGTTCTTTTGTTTTATTAACAGGATAATAATAGTAGACAGGTGCATTTAGTTTACTTTCCTTTCACATATATTTAATGGTGATTTAATTAATATAAGTATTCAAATGTCAAGCATTCTATTCTATTATTATTTAATGATTGTATATAATAAGTGTTTAAAATCAATTGATTGAACATTATTGAGTAAAGTTAACTATCTTAGATTTAACTGACTTTCTGTATATCAACATGTCTGTTACAATTGTATCTATCATACATAATTAATAAATTAACATTTTTTATTATTTGGTTTTAAGTTATCATAGACTTTAAGACATAATTCGTTTAAATATCAGAAAGTTGCACGTTTTCTGACTCAAACACTAGATATTCTTCAGTGAGTATACTAATCTATTCTAATCTCGTCCGATCTGCCCTATACTTTTGAGTTATAATCTTTGAAGATAAACTGATTGAATTTTGAATATCTTCTACGTACTGATTCAACTTCTAACGTTAGATCCAAATTTTTATATAGTAAATAACTGTAAATCTACACTATTCAATAAGACTAAAATATGCGTTATACATGTAAAATAACTGACAACCAGCATAAATATACTTAAGTAGATTAAGACAAATGATATCAATCTATCAAGTCATTAAATGTCAGCCCTAGTTAGGTTAAATGGTACACCTCTCTTAAATGGGGAGTTTCAGTTAATATGATATGTAACATTAGTCTAAGTTGATAATTATAAGTGGATTTTACAGTTTAACCAATAGAGTTTGTTTGAATTCAGTCTTGCTTTATTTTAGTATGGTTAATTATTGTGTCCACTTTCATGAAATATTGAGAAAAGTAGAAATATATAAGAAATTATTTTATTTTATCAGTTTTAGTTACATCGATTCTGGTCAGAAAAGAACAACTGATGAATCGTCATCATCACAAACGTGTCCTTTTTCTGTGATAAAAGAGAATGGCAAGTTAATCACATTTTGATTAGAAAAAGGGAGTATATTCTATGTTGTCTTTTAAATAGAATATCAACTGTTCTACCTAATTCTGTACTGCTTCTGTCTTTGATATTCTTTGCTTGTAATAAATGTCATGTGTATGTTCAACTAGAATCTTAACCCTCATGATGCCATAGTTCAATAAATGCGTATTGTTACACATTTTCCTATCGGGTTTTAATTTTTGTAATCACTAAGATTATTCCCTACTCTTCCTATAGGTCATTCCAAATTACTTGTTTCTTTTTGATTGCATTACGACATAAATGATAGCTATTCGGTTAGTTAATTTGAAATTCGACGGCCTAGAATTTTGAATTCAAGCCAATTCATAGGTTGCATTGTAGTTCAGATGGATGATTTTGATAGAGTTTTGTTCTCTGAGCTGGATGGTATGGTTGTGGAGCTTTCATCTTTCTTCTGAACGACATCATCAGCACAAACTTCAGGTCAAAGTGAAGTGTTCGAATTCCTCAACATATGGCTCACAACTTTTCCTGTAGACCTCGATGTTGATTGATTCTTGTTAACCTTAAACCTGTCTTTGTTTACTTCTTTATTTTGGTTGTATCTCCCATTGCTTTGGTTTTTGGTCCTATATTTATCCATGATTTCTCTGATTGGTTGATAAATTAGGTCGATTTCAATGTGCTTGATTGATTGTAGTAATTTTGTTGGTTTGTGTGCTACACCTATTCCGAAAGGTTTCAACAATCTCGTAGTTTCTGATATGCCTTTTATATAGATGGTAGGGTGATCCGCTTGTTAGTTTCTGTACTTGACTTCGTTTCTGATGATGCGTTTGGCTTGTATTTCTTGATGAAGTTGATTGGGTAGCCGTTCTTTCGAAAGATGGTCTTTCGTGCTGCAAGTGTGTCCTCGCCCTCTTGAACAAAGTTTGGTTTTTTGAGCTCTTCGGTTGTTGCTACTGTAATTGAGAATTGGATCTGTATCGGTCGTCTTCCGATATACTTGAACGGAATGCGCATCCCGGATTCCACTGCTAGCCACTATCCAAATCTGCTTATGAAACAAGTATACATCATTGTAAAATTCGTATAAAGGCGCTTAGGTTCAAATCACCGGTCGTACATAGTATAAATACAAGTGAAGAAAAGAATATGTATAAAATGAGAGTTAGAAAAGGTCTTCAAAACTTCAATCTAAGATAACAAGCGAATTTAGACTCACATCGTCATATGATCGGTTCTCTTTTACATTACCTTGGATTTCCAACCACTAATTCCTATCAATTTCAAGATTCCAGCTTGGAAAGTATATACCTCCCAATACGACTCAAATAAGCTGTTACTTATAACTGAGTGGACTGGCTTAACTTATTTATAAACTTAATCCTACACAGCAAATTTATACTAATCCACTTACTAGATATTTGATTATGACCCACACTCTGAGTAACTAATAAGGACTAGTAACACTGCCGCGTTGCCCAAACTGAAATATGTGCAGCGAGTTTCGAACCAGGGACGTAGCGACTGAAAGCTGGATACTTCAACCATTAAGTGGCCACTACTCCTACATACTGAATGTCTTTAATCATCCCATATTCTTAAAAACTCTATGAAAGAAACAATTTATGACATTTTTTTTTAACAATAACTACCACTGAGTAGTAGTAGTAGTACACTCTCTGTGGTGATCTTTGAGTGATTTATTCTTCTCTATTAATTAACTCATTTATCGCGTATAGATTCGTGTATCTGGCTACTAGTGAAGGTTGGTGATACTATACTTAGTTATCCGAAATGAAGTTAGTGAAACGGGGCTTGAAACTGTTATGTTAGTTGAAAATCAAACATTAACTACTGAGCCACCACTCCACGACTTATTCTCTTACAAATAATCTCCAGTTTAAGCAATTCAAAAAGTAAATGAATATGTTTGTGAAGTGAAATCTCGAATTTTTAAAACGATAATTCATTTGCCACAGTATTAACTTGATATGTATAGCAGTTTAATCATGTCTAAGAGTCAGGCAACATATTGAACAACTGTTTCATTCTGTCACATAAATTTATGCAGCTCAAACAAGTAAGAAATGGGATTGATTATTTTATCGCCTAAAATTAAATGTATCAATCTACAAAAGATATATCATTTGTTTCTATAATCAGTAATGTTCAAATGAAGTGTTCAACATTGTTAATGATAGAATAGATGGATTGTAAATCATAGGACACGTGTTTCGTTTTGTTTGGGACTGGATGTTCATCACACCGGGATTCAATTCCGTTATTGTTGATTTTAAACACCTAACACTTTATCCATGTAGCTACTGAGTTGACTAAATTTTACAATAATTATATTAACATCATTATTACAAATAATAAAATATGAATGTAGTAAACTTATTATATTGTTTACAACCTGTTGTCCTGATGCAAATTACTTAACTGTTCAGTAGTAGTAGCAGTATCTACAAAATCTTATATTTTTTTAAAGATTTCACAACGTCAACTGCACTAAACCATATTTTATTTAAAGAAGGTTCTGTTTCTTCTAATTGATGAAAACAATGTTGTTTGTTTGTTTGTTTTTTAGTTGTAAGCTTTCCGATTAAATTAACTGAAGCAAATAGGACAACAGTAATCTCTTTCAACCCATCCAATATGAATAATGAAAATAATTTTGATAATAATCGGAGTAATGTTCATATAAAAAGAGATGAATACAATGTAATTAAGACTAATGAAATCAATGAAGAGTAAGCTCATTTCTTTACTTCTCTTTTCTTTTTCTCTATTAAAGAAAGAAAGGAAGAGAAATAATAATAATAATGGCAATATAAATTGTAGACGTAATTCCTGATTAACATTGACAAAAGATTCACATTAACGGAGGCTAAGGGCATACATCATCTTACCTTGAGCGACTAAGTCATGGGTTTTAACCCCCCTCACCTACTTCAATTTAGGCAACCGGGTAATATCACTTAGAGTCTAACTCAAAATCAAGTACACTAATCTCCACGTAGTAAATGTGTTAAATTAATTAATTAAAGTGTCATTTCAGCAAGATATCTACAAATGATAATTTGAGCTGTGCGTATATGTGTCGAGAAAAAGTGATTTTGATGATTTAAAAGTTTATATAACAGCTTGATTTAGTAGCTGAAAAATTTAAAGCAGTATGTCTTAGGATGTGTTCCTCAATGAGATCATACATAGATTCATTTCATTCTAATTATTAGTAAAGTTAATTTTCTGTTGTTCAATGCATTTTTCGATAGGTTATATATATATATAATTCTACAGATAACTATTGATTTTCTTGGACTGATTGAAGTTAAAAATATAAACTATTAGATCTAAACTTAGTGGTTTGAAAGTTAGGCTCTCAGCACGATGTCTGAAGGTCCTGAGTCCTATCCTCAGTTGGATCATATATACTGTTCATTGAAATATATTTAGAAAGTAATAAATAAAATAGAAGGTTCTGAAGTATGAGATGATACTTAACTTATGACTCATTAGAATACAAGGAACGAATGCACCTGTACTACTCTGACTGATTTCGTACTGAAGAGCAGACAACTTTTCTAACCATAGAATATGTGACCATTACTCCTGGACGTCTTTTAATCAACATTGGTCACCTGTATAGGTAATTATTCGGAAACACAAGCAACTATTAAAGTGACCGAACTAATAGCTTGCTTATAAAATCAATAAAACTGTCATCAAGACATACAAAATATTCTAACAAGTATCAGATAACAATGAAGGAACAAAAGTTAAACATTAAAACTTTCAACCTATACTTATGTAACTCTACTTATCTTCATACTCAATCACGACTAATAAGCAAACTGATTTACGTCCGATCAACTAGCTTATTTCAACTAATGTGAATGTATAGGTCTAATGAATCTAAATTTTCATACATCGTCTCCTTAAGGTTTGAAATATCACTTGTTGACTAGTATCGGTAATCTGAAAACTTACTTCTTGATTCTCCCCCCTGGTTATATTTGATCGGTTAGCCTTAAATTGATATAACCTCTGTTGAACGGCTAGCAGCGGTTGGATACTTTATATGACATTGTTCAGACTTGTTCACAATGGCACAAATGTGTCTTCCTCTATGTCGCGAATTCCAGTAAACCCTCTATAAATACCTTTCTACCCTGTCATTTCAAACCATATCTCAAAGGTTTAGTTTTTCTTATTATTGCCACTACATCGTTTCGATCTCCTTTATGATATTCGTCTTGTTGTGCTAATCCAATGATATGGAAACTTGGGCCAACGCACATCTGTTCTACTCCCAATGTTAATGATGCTTGTCTCTATCTATCCATAAAAAGAACAAATAATTAGAAAGAAAAAAAAGCAAGCAAACAACCCAATTTTACTGTTACATATTAAAATATGTTGTACTAATCAAATTGCGCACTACTTTTTATTTGTTTTCAAAAATTTACCAGTTTATACTGTATAACTTATTCGTATATACATACGTATTATTTTTGTCTCAAGGTTGAAACAGAATCCAATGGTGATAGCATTCAGTGAAGAAATTGATCCTGCTGATAATGAAATATATTATCTTAATAACAATACTATTAGTATTACTAATAATAATCATTCAGGGTCACCTACGGGATCGTATGTAACATTTACTCCGAATAGTGATAATGAAAATAATGCTTTTAATATTAATGATGATAATTTACATCCCAAAAATAATAAAAATTTATCCTATGAAATAATGGATGAATTACAGTCAAAGTTACGCTTAGAACAAGTATGAATACGGTGTTTTATGGTAAAAGTTTTCTGTTTATCTCCTTCATGTATTCAACGTTTGGCTTGGTAACCAACGTTTTTTAAATTTAGACTAAATTAATGCATTCCAATTAGTGCTAACGAAATAGACAGAATGATAGTGATTAATATCATGCTTACATTACAGATTAATTATTATCGATAGACATAGTGAAATGCTATATGTAAGGCTGGAATAATTTATGGACGTAATTCTTTATCGAAAGAGATAAATAATGTTCAAATTAGTGTACTCGGCTTCGAACCACACTAAGTGTGAGGGCTGTTGAACTACTTAGTTACACAACCTGAAACAGATGGAACGGGGTTCGAACCCTCGACTTGATGATTGAAAGTCACCACTTCTACTCTCTTTAATTTATTAGAACTGAATCATTTTCAGACATCGTTAGCATTTGTTTGCTTGATGATCTGCTTTGCTAACTGTCGTCACATTTTTTAGTCATTTGTTTCAGTGAAGTCTATTCAATTGATATTTCCACTGCATACACATTTTCAACTTTTATTTAATTGTACTGATATTATTTTTACCTAATTAAACTTTGAATTGATAGAATATTACTTGGTTTATTATCCTTTATGTGTGATGATACAATGCGTGACAACATATTTTACCGAATTCTATGATGAATGAGTCAGTCAACCAATTATTTATCTGAGCAGGCAGTCACACTAACTAACCACTATTTTTAGTAACCAATATTATATTGTCGTTGCTCCTTAGTACTCGTGTCGAATTATGTCGATCAGGTCACAATGTAGCGATACGGTTAGACATTGTATACACCATGTTTTAGTGTTAAAACGTTAGAAGTAACCTTTAGAAAGAAAATCTTTGATCAAAGCTCCACACTAATTGGGATTTATCAGCAAAGAGTATCTGTAATTTTGATGAAACTGATGCTGCCAATGGTGTTTTGAACTTGTATCACGCAGATAATTTCGTCCACACTTAACCTTCGTCTTTTCTATAATTATGAGTATTTGAAATGTTGTCATTCTTAGTTATCATAATATTTATAACACCTCTTATCTCTTCTTTATTGTAATTAAATTAATATCGTAATTTATTTAAAGAAAAATAAAGTGTTTCCATGTATTTTCTCTACTTTTCTCACTTATATTCACTTTGGTCAAATCATTTTTTGAACTCTCTTTTTTTGTCGACATCATTCTTCAAATTGTCTATTACACAGTGTCACTCTCATGTAAAAAATGTTAATTTGGATCATTCAAATCAGTTCAATAGGTCCGAATCGAAAATTATAGATGGCAAGATGATAAAGTCTGGTCAGTTTTATACATTCGTAAATTACACCTTTTATTTTCTTGTTATACATGTTTACATTTTTAAAATCGAATTAGCCTTGTTTATGTATGTGTATGTTATTTGACAATAGTTATGTATATGTACCGGTGATTTCAACTAACTTTGTTGTTGTGGTTGCTTCTGAAGATTTCTTGGTTGGAAATAAAACATATGTATAAAGAAGTCTTTTTTTAGAGCTACTGATGGTCCTGAGCCTCCATAAAGAAGGAGGGTCGGGCATGGGGTTAACAACCCCATCCTGTAAAAATTAACCTTGCTAAAAACACTAGCCAAAAAGGATCATTTGAACCATTTAAACTCTCCATTGAGAGTCGAAAGGCCTTCATATAGTAGAGCTATGACGCCTTATTTTGAAAGTCGAAATTCGGCGAACGTCACAAGCCCGATGTTCCGAAGCAACCAAATCAACAACTAATATAAGTGTATAGAATGTCCAGACAATCTAGGCGAGACCGGAAGGACCATGGTTATTGCAATTGATAATATTCAGTCCATGATGATTTCCTTTTCTTATAACTCTGTTATTGTTCGTGAAAGATGGTATGATCTGAGTAATTCTTTTCCTCAACATGGATTGATTTGATTTTATAGCATGTGGTAAGACTTTCGAGTCAAGTTTTTATTGTATCGATCCAGGATCTTCATTCTCAGGTTGAGCACTTAACCTCTGGACCACTGATTTGTCATCCAGTGGTGTTCATGTCTAACTCCGATCAATCGATGTGATCAGCTCCCATTGCCCGTGGTTGATAACCGTTTTACAAAGACATAATAAACACAGTTCAAACATGAATTCTGTCAAAAGTTCAGGTTCCCATCACAAAATAGAACGCAAAATTCCTTTTCATTTTTATGTAACAATTATATGAAAAATCTATTTAGATATTTATTATTTACAGGTGTTTCTTTTCTCATTGGTCATAATAACATGTTAATACTACATATATTCATTGCTTACTTTACTATATTTGCTAGTTAATCAGTCATAACGTATATATCTACCAAGTTCTCACAACATATCAGAACAGCGAGATGAAATTATCAAGATGTGTCAATGTAGAAGAACTAGTACAGACGATTTTAAAAATGATTAAGCACAGAAGATACTACTCGAAAAGGGTAGAATGAATTCACTAAATAGATTGTATAAAATAAACTTGAAACTCAAGATATAAGGTAAAACAAGGAGTGAATCAGTCATACAACCCAACATCTGTAACCATTGGTCATGATAATTGACTTTGCACCTACCAACAGTCTTCAGATTAATGGAGGGAAATTGATGAACTGATCCTACGTCTTGATTTGGTTGTTTTTAGTTTCCTGCCAACCTGTTCAAGGTCATGCTCCCTAATGCCCTGGTACGTCCGAGAGTGGGAAGAGTCCGCTCACCCTTTCGAAATGCTCTCACATGGCCACGCGTATATAGCCTCTGCCAGGGAAGTCCTACTCACTGCTTTTTCGTGGCGGGGGTGTTGTTTATGGAATTGAGAGGACGAAAAGCGAATGTCCGGCGCTTTAACCGGGTTGGTGGACACCGAGGGGAGTTGGAAAATCCTGATTCCAAACCAATGGTGCACATGGGCTCCAGTATGCTGAGGGAAAAAATGGCGTATGAACCAATCGTTGGTCACCGGCTACCATGGGACTGCATCTCCTCACGATGCTCCACGGCCTTGTGGATCAGACCTTTAGGTCGAAGGCTCTAGGTGTAGCCCCCTAAGACAACCACCTGTTTCGGTTTGAGCACCCGGCTAGTGTCACAGCCCTCATACAAATCAAATGAGATATGTGCGGCGCATATGTATTTGGTGCCTCCTTGTATCTATGTGTTCAAATAATGAATGAAAATCCGTAATACATGTCCTAACTACCTCAGTTGATAAAGATTCATGATATTATTATCAGACGGTTTACCATCTTCGCCTAGTACTCTACATCTAACCTCAATATTGCTCATTCGACAGTCCCAACATATGCATGCAATTGATGATGATTATTTATCAGTTGTCATCGATTTTATTCACCTCTGAACCTTACCGTCCTTTAAGTTTTTTGATAAATTTCATCTTTTTCCTATACTACTTATTTATTTTTATTTTCCTTCCTTATAAATCACTAGGACAACTGCGAAAATCTGAGTCTAGACAAAATAAGAACGCAGACGAAGTAAGTTTATTTCCATATGTACCTTAATAAACCCATATTTTTTAAATTATTGTTTATATTATTGTCGTCATCATCATTAAATTAATATTTAAACTCAACATTTTTCTGTTTAAGTGTTATTAACTGTCAATAGATTAACTAAAATCAATGATCAAATACTTATGATAACTGGAAATATTCAATTGTTCCAGTTTTTTTCTATTCTCTGAATTTATTGTAATTTTCCTGTTGTCAATTGATATGTAATTTATAAATTCGCAAAGAATTTTTGATCATATATCGGTGTATTTTAACGAACAAATAAAATTAAACTTGGTCACATATACAGATAGATAAACTTTGTAACTTGTGATTTTGATTTGTTATTTTTGTGAATTTTTACTGACGATATATATTTTTCTTACATGGAATATCAAGCTAATAATATGTAATAGCGAGAATCGATAATAATTATATATATTCTTTGATATTGAGAATTATATTGTTACCTAATACTAAGTTGGTATATGATTTGCATTCCATGAATTATTTGACATTCATACGTATCAATGTGATCATCTCTCCACTGAGATTTGAAACCCATTACTGTAATATGTTACAAATCTACTACAATCTTTTTACTGAGCTATATCGTTGGAAGGAAACAACCTTAACTTACGTATCTCACTTGTTAATATCCATCAGCGAAGTTTTCGTGCACTACCATTGGGTGAACCGATACCTTCTTAAACCTCGAACATGTTTCAGTTATCACTAAGTAGCAACTATTCAAGCCACTGACAGAATTTAATCACTAATGAAGTCTAAACATAACACAATATCGGTCACTAATATTCAGTGAATAATTGATACAGTTAATTATCATCATAATAGTGGTTAACTTGACAATCTCAAAGTTGTCAATCACGACGTCTTAAAGTTATGTTTGACTGATATTTTATATTATATTCTTCTTGATTAGTGATTTAGTTTTTAGGGCTATCCGCTTTCAAAATATAGGTTCCCGGTTCGAATCTAGACCTTACATTCAAAAAAGTGTGGATTAAAGTCGATTACATAAACCCGTCTTCGATAAATGAGTTACATTTTTAACATTCATTAGTGTGATTCAAATTTTTTTGTAATTTTGTTCCGATTTCCCTATAGCAGGAAAGTGTACTTGGTACGAACTTAAAAAATGATAAAGATTTGTCAATATCTAATGAAAATATAATTATACTAACTACAGATGATGATGCCCTGGAAAAATTTCTTGAAGATAGCTAATAAAAACAAGACTCCATATCGTTTTTCTTTTGTGCTTCTTCATATGTAATCGTAACTTTCACTCCTAATCTTTTGTACAAAGGAAATTAAATATACCTTTCCTATTCTCACATTGTATGCTCTTATTATTCTTAATGTTATTTATTTAATTTTATTCAAATGATTACAATCCAACAAAATAGTATACAGAATGAAGTAACTTTGGAATCGATAATATATATCAAGTGATTAAGAATTCCTTCGAAAATTTGTTTGCTACATTGATCAAAATGATAAACAAGTGCCAACTAGCATAAAACCTTGGTCGTACTCTTGCATTATAGTAATATAACAAGGAGAAACGAAAAATATTTTCATTCAACCGTTGTATCCCATTAGTTCAAAACAATAATTAGTGAGAATGCTAAATACTTTTTTATTAAGTTCGAAATATCATGCCCAATATGAAAGCCATGAGATTCGAAAATCTTTTGAGATGTTTACAAGAATACTGTATCACGTTAACAAAAGTAGTAACAGACTCGTTTCAATAACTGGTGGTCTCAATTTACGAAGTGAAATTGATTGTCACTAGTAGGAACTTTGGCCTCACTGAAATATAGAGTTTAACAAACATCGGCTACATGAGTCCACTGATCCTACCTTGACCCCCTGTCATGATTCTGACCACAATAACACCTGTGTATCACAATACTCATATGCTATTATATGCCTTCACTGAGATCTTGTGTCAGTGTCTGTTAGTTGAGCCTCAATCAAGTTAGCTTATTCTTGATCTTGTAGACAGTCGTCATCTGTATTGATAACAACCGTTGACATTCACCAAACTTGACTACCTCATTCGACTTTATGATCAATGAGTATACCATAATGACAGCTCACTCCTAACTCAATGTGAACCGACGTATCCGTAAAGATCTTTAGCGTGAATAAATTGGCACGGCGAAATCGTTACGATCGGAAAACTGTTAACAAACTTTAGAGAACTATTGATCTTTTAGCAAGTTCCATTACAAAACTTCCGATTTATATAGGCTCTTCTCAACGGTTAAAAAATGGCTTCAAAATCAAGCAGTCATCTTATGAATTATATAAGTACGTCTCCATACTAGAATAATATACGGAGAACTGAAAAAAGCAGAAGATTCTATAAAGAATTCATTCGGAGTATAAACCAGGAGTTATCTACCGATGTCGCATAATTAACTTGAGAACAAATATTGAACAGATCTAATTACATTAGCCAGCTAAGATTGAAATACATACGGTTCATTAAGAACGCCTCATTTGTGATTTCTTTTCAAATCTCAAATAGGAGAATCCCTTAGTTGATAAAAACAATGATGAAGCATCACTGTACCGAAAATTCACTCAGTCAACAATAAAAAACTGGCAAAAATCATCGTTAGGTGATGGTTAGCAATAGTCAACAGGAAACCCTGTACTATTTGAATTTCGTCAACAATCTTGAAGAGACTGGTGCTTCCAGGAGAATTCTACCTCTTGCCACTATGCTTCACGGTCGGAGGCGTCACCATTAAGCTATTCAGGTCACGACTAACTTCCTGTAGGACTGAAATATACTTAAAATTGATTGTTCACTGAGCATTGACCAGTATCATGAATACCAAGTCCCCCTAACATTCCAATATAGTGCATGTCGAGTCACTCAAACTAGTAGCTACATCATTACTTAATCGATAAAATTCGGTCAGCATTAAGAAAGACTTGACATCCATGCTATCGGTCAATGCTCAGTGATTAACTAATTGTAAACATACCTTAGTAGTTGTCATCTAATCTATTGAAGTCAATCATTACAGCTCGACACATATGACATAATGATTAACAACTAATCAACTTTTTATGCGGAAAAAAACATTTTGCTAAGATTACCATCTTTATACTAATTCAAGTTCTTTTTAATTAACTAACTTTATTATTTCTAACAAAAGCATTAGTCAATCAACTAATTAGTTCATCTTGTTTCACAGTTGGATATTTCATCTATTCCATTACCAGTAAGTTGTAGCAGTGGTAGTAGTAAGTAATGAACAACAGTATAGAATTAGTAACAACTTGAAATTAATTCAGAGGTTGTCAGTAAGAAACATACGTTCGATCCTTGATACATACTACTTACATCTGTCACACACTTTGTATCAGAACAATAAGCGTACAGGTATGTATTAGAAGTCATAATATACACTACAAAAATTTATTGAAGAAAGAAGGCAATCAAATAACATGAGACACATTTCACATGCTGTCATTTTGTTATTGTTGTTCAAAGTCGTTTTTTAGAAAAAAATCACCCAAAGGATTTTGTTTTATTCCTTGTTACCATTTTTTTTAGTGAATATTTGTTCTGTTTTGTTTTAATTGGGATTCGAAAGAAAAGTGTGTTTATCAGAAAGAAAGTAGTATTATAATGTAAACCAAAACAGTACGGAAATAAATAAACACCAACAGTTTTAACGGAACAAAATACCGCATTATCTTCACAGAAGTTCATGTATGTATGTGTGAATTTTCTAGTACAGGTTTACAACCAATTGATCAGTTAGTTATGTAATTTTCTAGATTAATAATAAATGAATAGAGAAATAAAAAGATAAACAGAGAGCGAAGAAAGTTGTTTGTTTGTTTATTTTTATTGTAGTTTGTAATTTCATGATCCATATATGAAATCAATCGAATAATGGATGAGGACATAATAATATCATCCATGCAATAACAAAACCTTATTCATGTGTAATGATCGATTATATAGAGGGGATAGTGAAAAAATTAGTCAGGTTTTATCAAAGAAAAAAGAGCGGAAAGAGAGAGATGGTGTTGAAGACAAGAAGACTAACAAACAGACACAAATATATATAAAATGAAAAATAAACGGCTTATTTCATCAATAAAAAAAATCGGAAGATTAAGGCACACAATACACTTTTGTGATTTGGTGATTCCTGTCCAAGGAAGCCAATTTATTTATTGAGTGTAGACAAAAAGATGGTGTGACAACAACCAACAATAGCAATGGATGTGTCCGACTCTGTATTCAAGGTATACAAACAAAAAATAACAGCACAAATTGCCGCCAATAACCACATAGGACATAGATAGATGTTTAAATTTCTTCTTCAAACAATCGTTGCCTGGTATTGGACAATCCACTTTGCGCAATCTTTATTCGTTATGAAAATGCAATCAGAAAAAGAGAGAATTAGCAAGTAGAAAATCCACTAACAACAAAATATTAGTTAACTTTATTAAATCCATCTTTATAAGCTAATAGTAACCAATAGTTTGAATGTAATCTTTATTGCATACAAAAAATTGGCGTTACATATAGTACTGTTGAGAAAAAGCTCAGGTAGTAAGTATTAGTAGTAGTAATTCAGGACATTATTGACTAATCCTAGAAAAAAGCTTAGTATTTACTTACAGATAGATTTTTCGATGTTCTGATGAAAAGCCATGATTTTATAGATGGTCAACTAAGTGGATAATTAGATTATTATGCATTCCTTATGATATTGAATGAAAATCGTGGTATATCACAAAAACAATAACATTGGAAAATGTGAAGTCATTCGGGTTTCATTACAACATCTTTACTGATCCACTGAGTTTCACATGGCAATTGAAGATTAATGCTGTGATTTCATGTGTAGAGGTCGATGTGTGATGATGCACCACTGATGTAAAAGTTGCGGAGATTATGACAACGTTTGTTATGTTCAAGGATTATTCCGTCTTGACATCTGTTAGTTAATGATGAGAATTATCTTTGACGTGCATAAAATTTTCACAAAACCACAAAACTCGCTTATTTATACCGAAAATGAATTCTAAAAGAATAAAACTAACTAAGCACATTACATATAAAACTGATTAAAAAAGATATATGAATGAATGCCAAAGCCAAGTAGAATAACTTCTTTGCACAAAATAAAAAATAAATGAATGCCTGTAGTTACTAATGATGAATGTAAAAAGAGAAGTTCATTCAAAAGTAATTAAAAAACAAGGCAGAATACAACTGGATTCCATAATTTAACCTAAAAATGTTACATTTAAACATGAAGGAGAGGAAGACAAGGAGGAATCGATGAATTCTACGGATGAAACATAAAGCAAAGAAAGCCCTCATACACAGATACACCAACTCTCCTTCGAAGAAGAGACTCATGAAACTAAGACCAATCATAATATTATATATATATATATATATATATATATCATTTGCGCACAAAAAAAGTGTATCTCTTTGCCCAGATCATGAATCATTAAATCTTTTACAATTATCTAACCTTGTCTACTATTACTGATACTATTATTACTTCCACTACACTGAAATTCGTCTAGATAATTTAATCTTGCTCTACGGACATAGTTTGGCAACACATATAAGTGCCAGATTCTACGTTGCATATGACTGATTGCTTTCAGATAGTTTATTAAGCAATAGAAATCCAAGGAAAATTGAAGAACAAATAAACACTTTTGATATTAATATAATATGACTACACTACATGAAATGGGTTTTAACTGATCAGTATCATTCTTTTACGTTATATATCAAAAAATTTCTTTCATTATTACAAAATTAATAAAGCAGAAAAATCAATATTAATTTTTAATTCGATAAAATCCAACATATTGATTGACATGAGTAAAATGTTTCAACAGATAAATTAAACTTACAAATTCATTTGCTTTTGAAATCAAATAATCGCATGCTTGATCAACATTTTCTGGTGCACCTGTTACTAATACTGTATTACCATCTTCATTAGCGCTATTGATATTTCGTCTACTAGGGAATTCAATGCGTACATTATAGTCTCGCATGACTTTCTGAATAGCATTACCTCTAGCACCGATCAATCGAGCATGTGTCTAAATGTCAAAAATCGGAAAAAAGAAAGAATATACGCAAATAAAACTTACATTAATTTGTAACATTCCAAATTTACAATAGTGGATAGTTAGAGGTAGTCGATAAGGAACCCTGAACCTAGGATTTTAATGTTATTTGACACTTTCAGTCTTGAGGGAACTGGTGAACCATGGCGGATTCGACCGTGTAAAACATGACCTTTGAAAGTA